CGCTTCATCTCTCTCAGCTCCTCGGTAAACCAGGGAGCCAATTGAGATCTGCGCCGGGTCAGAGGCCGCAAAGGCACGACTTGGTCCAATGCTGCGGCAGCGGCCGCCTCCCAGGCCGCCGCCAGATTTTCAACCGAATCGTGAACTAGGTCCTCAGGATATGGCCCAAGCTCCGTCAGGAACCTCTCTGGGTCCATCAGGCGCCGTCAGGAACCTCTCTGGGTCCATCAGGCACCTGGGGCGGAACCATCTAAGCGGTTCCTCCTCCCTGCGGCGGGGGGGAGCGGTCCGGAAGGAGGTAGATTTTTAATTTGGAAAAATTAAATATCGTACCCATCTTGGATCAATCCTTGAATGCAGTATTTTCTTCCAAGCAACCTTCACTCTTTCAACTAAAACAAAGCTAAATTTGCAGATATCGTTTTTACTTAAGCATTCAAAACTTAATTGGCAACTCTCACTATTCATCTTTATTGATATCCACCATGTAGATGGGTGTCTCAACCTTTTCCATAGTCAAGTGTTTGCCATCTTAAATGAAAGATTCAATACTATCCTGGCCAAAGAAGGTGAAAGATAGGTGTCCCGTGATGAGACATGAAAAATTAAGAACAATGTGAAAAGAGGTAGTGTTGTAGGTGGAGCAGGGGAAAATTTTTGACACAGCCTTTTGGATTCAGTGACACTCACTGAGGTAGGCCTCGCCTTAAGACACTGAAATATTTTAATATGACTCAGCATTCAAAAAAGGGTTTTCATTCATTTCATAAGTCATTTAGCTACGAAAATTAATACCTGTCTACTGGAAGGCGTAAGTCTCTCTTCTGGGGTCTTTGTGCTAAAAGTCATTAATTCCTACACAATCAGAAGGGAAAAGAAAAGCAAGATTACAGACAGGAAAGGTATCCTTATAATTACATAGAGTTTTTAAAATGGCGCACACCATTCAAAATACCAGTCCAGAAGCATATGGATATAGAACTAGGTGAATTTAAATATGAGATGTGGCTGTTAGCCAAAACATGGGGGATAATAAAAAAATATTTGCTACTCTTTGGAACAATGCCTTTCCTTTTAAACATTATTATAGGGAATTTCCTTTCCCTCTAATAATGACCAAATAATGCTCTTTTTTTAGTGCTGTTGGGGAGAACACATTACCAACAAACCAAGTACAGCATTCATATAAAGCAATATTGGATTTAGACTGGCTGAATTTCATGTCGGCATTGTATTGCTGGCTGGAATTAGATTGCAGGAAAATAATCTATATCTTGACACAGTTAAGAGATATGCAAAATGCAGGCTGCTCAGAGAAGCCCATAAATGTCAAAACATTTGACAGAGCAAAACCTCTATAGCTGGCAAAATATAGTTTATCTAAGCTGCAATCCTAAATGGAGTTAAGAGCCTCTGAACAAACAGCATTTCTAAACAAGCATGCAGAGTGTGTCATTAGTACTTGAAGAAGCAATATGTATGTATGCAATTTCTATAGCTGTCCATCCCAGTCAATAATTTTTTTTTTGGGGGGGGGGATTACAATTTAAAAAATATATTGCAATTAAAAATACTAAAAACATTTTTGAAAAAATAAAAGCATTCAGATTAAATATACATTCTTCTTCTTGTGCCATATCCATTATCGTACGTTGGCGATCATGTGTCAGGAAACACAAGAGTCTTTAAGTTATTTTTTTTCTTGTTTCTACTTCCCAACCCAACTAGGACAATATTGTAGTGACAGTCTATTGGAAAGACTGGCAAAAATGAATATTATAGCCTCTGTTCAGATCTCTTAGTCATCCCTACCAGTTTCACTCTAAGTAACGTGTCATGACATATCGCGACTTTTTTTGCATTGCTGGAGCTGGGATGGGCGCGGCCTCGACATGAGGCAACCGGCCCGCAGGCCGGCAGTTTGACACCCCTGCTCTAAATCATTTTAATAAACTCGGAACTTACGTGCGTTTCAGTCAGAAAATAAAACTGAGACTGGCTAAGCCACTGATATTTTTCGGAGGTAATATATTCAGGCACATCTCTTGGAACAAAGACAGCCCACTGGACTTTCCCTTTGCAGACATTCCTTTGGATACACAAGGGCCGTGGTTCGCTGGGCTTGAACACAAACACTAAAGCAGAGAAGAACAGANCCTGGAGGCAGGACAAGAAGCAACGGGTGGAAACTAATCAAGGAGAGAAGCAATCTAGAACTAAGGAGAAACTTCCTGACAGTTAGAACAATTAACCAGTGGAACAACCTGCCTCCAGAAGCGGTGAATGCGCCAACACTGGAAGTTTTTAAGAAGAGACCGGACAGCCATTTGTCCAAAATGGTATAGGGTTTCCTGCCTGAGCAGGGGGTTGGACTAGATGACCTTCAAGGTCCCTTCCAACTTTACTATTATTATTATTATTATTATTATTATTATTATTATTATTATTATTATTATTATTATTATTATTATCTTTAGCCTTTGAAAACAACCCTGTCTGTTTTTCTGACTCGGAGTTGAAGTCATTGAGTTACAAAGCCACAACGATCCCAAGAGCATGGCGTCCCAGCCTTGATATTGCTAATCAATCTTGTATAAGGCCAACTTAACAATTAATCTGGCAGTAAGAGCCAAACCGCATCATTGTAGTTGTAATAGTGTGAGAAAACCATTGCCAGATGACACCTCTTTGATGAGAAATAAGCTAGTTGAGCCTTCCCCAACTAGTTCATAAATTGGGACTCAAAACTCCTTGAATTTCCAACTATCATGCTGGTTCAAAATCCTAACTTCTAGATTTGGAGAAAATCAAGTAGAGATGGCTACTGTTCAGGAAAAGGAATAGTAAAAAATATTCTGATTTTTTAATATGGCCTTCACTCCTACCCACCATGACAGTTTTTTAACAATGGGATTCAGACACAGAACTCTGTACTTTTTCTGTTATTTTCTCACCCAAAATGGCTTGTTCATAAAGCGAAACAGTATTATTATAAAACTGATATCAAGATTACTAGGTTCTCTTTAAAAACATCTTTTCTTCCCCTGTAACAAAAATCCAAAAACCAGAAGCTGCTTTAACACTAAGAGATTAAGTAATAACTAACAGATAGATACCCCCAAAGGAAAATAACTACCTCTATATGTTATTTATTCCAAATACAGTGCGTAATTGGGTTTTGATCCTAAGATAAAATTCATTTCAGAAGTTCCACCATTAATCAATTTTTGGCAATTATTCACTTCTACCTCAGCATCCCTCTGTACCTTTACTCATATTCAAGAGGACTCGGCCCTCTGCAGAAAGGTCAGGCAGTATCAAAGCAAAGGAAAAGATTGAAAAACTAACTACACTGAATTTCCTGTTAAGTTTTTGGTAGGATCTAAGTTTCCAGGTTCAGCCTAGTTAAAAAGTTTGTTTTTAAGTGGCATTAAATCTAAAATATTTTTCTAGGCGTGATAATACCACAACTGGGATCAACCATTCTACACAAAGTAGACAGGCCTCTTTGTTCTCACCATCTGAATATTCTGAGTGCTGAGAAATTGCGACAATATTCTCAGACAGATGATCAGGCTGAAGAATGTTGACACGTAACTGGGCACTCCATTCCACTGAAAAGAAAAATAATCAGGTCAGTAAAAAGAACCACAGACTATGAAAAGAATTATTTTTTTTTCTAGGAAGGGCACAACTTGCAAGAGAGGCAGATTCAATTCAAATGCAACTTTCAAAATATTTTGAGTAGGGTTTGCATAAGGGATGAGACTAAGAGGGTGTTCTTCAATGACAGCTGGCCTAAGGTTACCCAACAGGATCTCAAAAGTGTCCTGAAATCCATCAATCACATTTTGGGCACCATCAGCTCTAAAGATTCTGTTTAGTTCATCTGGAAAGGAGAGACCATACAAAGTGGCATACAGAGCATAACCCTGATAGATTCGCATTTTGAAATCATGAACCGTTAGAACTCAACTGATCATATAATTTACTATTAGTCTTTTTCAGGTTAATAATAAAATACATTAAAATGTGCTCCAGTAGACAATTAGTTTTCTCTAAATCCATAGGACAAAGGCAGATTACACTTTGGCCAAGAGTAAAAACAGACAAAAAAATCATATTTTTCATATAATGGTTACTATTTAGATCCCTTTAACAGAGAGGTCCTCAACTCCTGGGCTGTGGCCCACTACCAGGCCGTGGCCTATTCCCAACTCGCACAGCCCATTTCCCCTCTCCTTCCCTCATCCGGCCGAGCTGCCAAGTTTGGGGACCGCTGGTCTAACACCATAGTCTTCTCAGGTAGTCAGGAGAGACCTGCTCAATGTTTCAGGGCTAGGAGATGGGATGTTTTCTACTGAGGCACCCAACTCTGCTGGTCCTCCTCTTGTTTGGTTATTAGAATATTTTGTCTTGTGGCTTTCAGATTTTGTTTAGTTGCCTGGATTTCTATAAATCATTTATTTATTCCTAAAATAGGTCTTTCTTCCCACCTCTCCAGCAGCTCCTCAAAACTCTTCTGGAAGAACTTCCAATTTTCTGAATTTATAGGAGAGCAATGCAAGGGGACAGGCAGTTATCCCTCTCCCAGCTCCACTGCAGGCTATCCGCATATAAGTGTCATTGAGTTTCCCTCATGTAGGATTAGCGAAATAACTCTTCCTGACAGGATTACTAACAGCATCCTAAAGTAGACTACGGAATAAATCTGCTGATGCTAAATGACTCACTTCAATTTGTATTTAATATAAAAAAAAATCCATCTCATTTTCTTTAATGATCTTCTAACAATTAGACTTCATGCATCTCTTTAACGTTTTCAGCTAAACAAAAATTCTGGCCATTTGTCAAAAAGACACAAATTAACTCAGTATCTTTTGGCAAAAGGTACCACAAATTAATAATAGCAGGCAGCCGGTAGTTAGTAACAGTAATCCAGGGCATGTGCTAGTGGATTAACCTGCCATTTATTGTTAAACATTTACTAAAAGGATGTTCTTTTCCCAGATGAAATCAAAACTGAAAAGATTTTGTTTGCACTGACCCCTTCTTTCAACTATTGGGTTACTGCAGCATAAAATTCCGAGGGAGAAAAGAAGAGGCAAGAAGTAAAAGCAAAGACTTACGTGAACAATTCAGCAAGTTCCAGCAGCACAAAAAGCCACTGCTGGTGGTGCCAAGGAGATATTTGGAAGAAATCAGCCTCCCAAAGCATAGGCTCCTAAAGGAAGAAAGGAAGGAAGGAAAGGTCAGAATAGTTGCCCAACTCCAAATCCCGCCAGTAACATTCACTGCTACATTCGTCAGGATTGAAACTGGTGGAAAAAGAGCTGATCGTCCCCAGTTCAGCGAGATATTTCATAATATGCCCCCCTCTACATTATCCAGGGCCTATCTCAGAAACTCATTTCTCCAATTTGGTTATAAGACTCTTATGCTGACCAAAGATACACTTCAAAGTGATATACTGTATGCTCAACAGCAACCTATCTCTCATGGTTTGGAGAACAACGGTAAACAAGAAGGACATCTAAAAAGTTCCTGCAAAAGGAAGGACATCATTGAGGTTCTGGCCAGCTGGACGTTCAGGAGTTAAGGTTAGCCAAAGCCTTCCAATTTCACCACCGAGCAACTTTATGGTCTTTTTAACCTACATCTCCTAGCAGTGACTATATGTACAGACCTGGGAACAAATTCCATTTTACAACCGTACAATTCAAACCTCCTACTACAGCAATCAAGCAAATGTTTACCCAAAAAGGGTCAAGGAAGCCATTTGAAAAAAAGAGCACCTTCCCAGCAAACGTTTCAGATAACACGGCTCTCTGCAAGTGCTGACAGGCAGGAGGTCATGATCAATTTTAGAAGTTTTCTGAAACTGTCTTGCTGACGGAACAGTAAATTAGGAGGAACTGGCTTTGACTGGGGTAGCAACCAAATGTGAGGAATTCAAGCCGACTGAGGGCAGAGAGGCATTGAGAACTATAGCTGTCAATTTACCTATTTAAGAATATTGTATCACAAGCACTCACACTTCAAAAGGGTGGTCTATTTACTGAGAAACACAAATGCAGCCACAATCCTTAGTTATAATGAATTGCTGATTTAATCATTCACGTTAACCAGGCTCCCTTTACTGGCTGCGGGAAGTTCAGAAATGAATACAAGAGAGGGCCCAATGACTTTGCTTGTTATTCCAATGCGCATTTTAGTTTCATAGAAGAGCAATTTTACTTTTTTTTTTTAATCTCAACTTTTCCCCGCTATCTCTCTTCCCTCATTTTATTCTTAACCCAAAGGGTCCTGATCTAAGCTAAAATTATACATACTGCATGTGCTGTTCCAGGCACAGAAAATGAGTTAATTTATGAGAGACTGTTGTCTCTATTGTCAGATCCTGTTCTAAAATTAATTAGGGCAGGTTGTAAGCTGAGAAAAGCATTTCAGGCTCACTTTTGAAAACTGCAACGTTACACTTTTCAAATGAACTTTTAAAAAAAGTCATTTAAATAGTAAATAAGCAAAGCTATAAGACCCGGAAGAACAAGCATACAAGTACATACGTTATAGTCCCTGGAGGATGGCAGAAAGTGCATTTTAAATCCCATGTTTCAGAATCCCACAGGGTGATCGTTTTGTCAAAGCTAACAGCGAGTAAAGAGCCATCTTCAGAGAAGCAGCAATTTGTAGCTTGATAATTATGATAGCTTCCCACAAAATCGCAGGTCCAAGTTACGCTTTCATCTGCTGGGGAAGAGGCACACGGATTTAGGAGAGGAATATCAAATGTTAGCCAGATGGCATGGAAAAGATCATGTGAGAATTTTAATTTCACAAATTTGGTCTGGTTTGCTTGTGAGGTATTCACTTGCTCCTTTCCTTGCAAGAAAACTCCCAATTCTTTGCAATGGAGCAATATCAAACTAATGTGGGACCAATGAGGCACCATTTTCTTTTTCCACTGGAACAGAAGAAGGAGAGCTTAGTCCATGCTGATAGTCCAGTGGAGCAATTCCACACAAACCGCATGCTACTCTCTCTTTTTCTGAAGCAGGAAAAGCCACAGATTGCTGGGGAACATTTCTGTCCAAGAGACAGAAATTTCTGAACCAAGAGACCACTGTGTGGGAGTAATACTTGCCATGGCAAGCAAAAAAGTGAAAAAAAACCCATAAATCTTTGCTATTTAAGTTTATTTCTACACAAAATGGAATCTTGCTAAAAGCACGGCCATATATAAGTGATGTATTTTTGCTGGCACTTCGTTCAAAAGAAATCCTAGGCTACCAGCCACAACTGCATAGGTTTGCCTGATGCAAACATAAATCCACAGACTTCACTTTTAAAGGGCTTCTTAATAAGCTATTTGCAATCACTAATTTGTGCCCAGGGCTGCAGTTTTTCTTGGAATCCATCTCTTTTCAGACCACATGGAAGAGAGAACTTAGGATCATGAAAGACACATTACATTTAATACAACATCTGGATATACCACATCAAGAAACGAACACACAAACAAAGAAGCCCAAACACAACACTCAAAATAGCAAGATAGATACTTCTTCAAATAGGTGCCCCTACCTGCCACTTTAAATGCCCAGATTATGAAAACCATAAATAACTTTCAAGTATAAACAGCACTCTTTTTCTACAAGAGTAGGTATTTTACACATGGACAAATGCAGAAACTTAAAATTAAGGGGGAAACAAAAAAAATCTTACAACTCCACAAAAATGGTCCCATAAAGATCAGCAAGCTTTCATGGCTGAATGTAAATGGGTAAGAAAATACTATAGTTACAGAGTTCCTATCCTATCCTAGTTGCCATCAACTAGGCACAGGACAGAGAAGCTCAATCACAGCTACACTAAAGTCTTTTTCTCTTGTAGTATATATGATTTTATTCCAGCTGCAAAGTTTGCAAATGGTCCAATTCTACTGCACATAGGACAGCTAAGTGACATAGTCATGTCTCTCTACATAGAGCTAATTTCTACCTATTTAAATATATTGCTCAAAAAAATAAAGGGAACATTTTACCATGGAACTGAAGGGGTTTGCGTTCCCTTTATTTTTGTGAGCAGTATACATACATACATACATACATACATACATACATACATACATACATACATACATACTCCAGAAGGAAACAGAAAAATAAAAGTAAGTCATGCTGCTTATCTGAGTTTTAGAAATTTCATAAAGATCCTTTTTTCTTTAGCCTTTAGCATGGCCTTTTACAGATTTAGAGAACCAACCAGGAAATTGTCACCTTGCACTGTAATCAATCCTCGGCTGTCCTTCCAATTCCTCACTTTCATTAAAAAGCCCAAACTGAACACTTTATTCATGTTGCAAATGAATGAAGGCTATTCTCCCCATTTTACTTACTTTCACTGTCTTTATCCACCAGCAGCATCCAGACCTTGAAGTGTCCATCATTGCTGGTTGTTACCAGAGTTGGGGTTACATTTTCAGAGCCATCTGTGTCACGGAAACACATCGCTGTTATGCAGTCCTCGTGTGGTGTATTTATTCGTGTGTTTAGAGTAAAGCTAATATCAACAAAAAATATAAAGTATTCTCATAAAGTAAATGGGCTTCAAGGCTTGTAATATTATGCTGGCTTGATACATTACATATTTTAATTCTGAACAATGATCACATCAAGTAAATGGATGGCGTAATTATTGGATATTACAATTTCCAATCAATTGTGTTGCATTTTTATCCTCAAATAAAAGTGGGGCATTCTATACTACTGTACCACTGATAGAAATAGTCAGTATAGGAAATAGATCTGGTTATAAACCATCAAGATATAAAATGTAGTAGTTGCCTCTGAGTTGAGCTTGACTCCTGACAAATTACACGTAAATATCCATACAACTGGGGGGATATGGCACAGAACTGCTTTGCCATTACCTTATTTTGAAGTGTTGTTCCAACATTCTCATTTACATTAAATAGACCTCACAGAAGAGTGTATCTTTCCTGTACGGTAACACTCTTCTATCGAATTCATATCCTCGAACATTAAAAAGAGGATACAGCAATGTAAGGCTTGTAAGACATCTCTCTACTTATTGAATCTAGGAGGTGATTTATAGATATCACTGGAATTGCCCAACTATCAGAAACCATCTGTTGTATTATGTTAATTATATAAATGGAATGGGAATGAGAAATAAGGTAGGTTGCCACTCGTTCCATAAATGTCATCATTCGGTTTCCTAAGTACTCCACTGATAATTAGCATGGTCAACTTAGGGCAAATGATATACATTTATACTTGGACAAAAATAGAAGCCAGAATGTAAAAGTAGCTGAAACACCGGGAACACTGAGAAGATGCTTGCCATCCAATTCCTATCGAGGTTAACCTGTGTGACAAATCAGAAATGGAATACCAGCCTTCTCCAGACTGATGCCCACTAGGTTAACTTGGGACTTCAGTTCTTTGGCCATTTTAGCTGGGAATGCAGAGAGTGACAATGTTAAGATTAATTGGAGGGTCAGCACATAAATCACAGATTTTTTCCTCAAAAATCTATCTATCCCTGAAAAAAACGGTGTTACTGCCCACTTGCACTATGTCATGAAATCACTGCTCTGCTTCCCTGGGGGTCTCTGTTCCCTGGGTCTCGAAATAACGCTGTAAAAAAGGCCAATCGTGAAAAAAAATGACCAGTCCTTGGGCTCGTGAGATACTTGAAGTCTTGATATTCGTTCTCCATGTTTAAAAGCAAAATCTATGCTTTAAAATGATCTCGGGGCATGTTTCTGCTCTGCAAGGTAGAAACTATAGGAATACGACTCCCTTTGTCCAGCATAAATTCAGACATGTTTACCTTTGGGTCTGCTCACTGTAGGCCCAGAGTTTCAGCTGCATCTCAACCTCACTGCCGCTTCCTTGCCGTTGTTCCACAGTAGCCAGCCAGTCACCTTTGGAATGAAATGCAGCTTTCAGTAAGTCAATCTGGTCCAGACCCGACTGATAAATATACTCCTGCTGCACAACATCCAGCTGGGCATTTCAGAAAGAGGGAGAAGCAAAAGAGTTGTTTAGGCTCACGTACATTGGAAGGCAAGTCAAAAGCAAATCAATACAAAAGACTTTGCAGAAGGTATATCAATCTTCTCTAAACTAAGCAATATCGGTATTTCTTGACTTATGACTGTTCATTTAGTGACCCATTCAAAGTTAACACTGAAAAAAGTGACTTATGACCGTTTTTTTCACACTTAAAACCATTGCAGCATCCCCTATGATCATCTGATCAAGATTCAGATGCTCGGCAACTGACTCGTCTTTATGACGGTTGCAATGTCGTAAATTGCTGGGTCATGTGATCGACTTCTGCGACCTTCTGACAAGCAGTCAATGGGCAAGCCAGATTCACTTAACAACTGTGGAAAGGAAGGTTGTAAAATGGGACAAAATTAACTTAACAACTGTCTCACTTAGCAACAGAAATTTTGGGCTCAATTGTGGTCGTAAGTTGAGGACTACTTGTACAAGGAAGGAGGCAACCTAAAATTAGGGTGAGTCAGGGAGGCATAGATACCCAAATGTGTCTTGCAACATTCACCGCCATTCTTTAGGGTTTGCTACTAAGCATCTGTAGTTGGTGTTCTTTATAAAAATGATTAGTTGTTCCATTCCATTATACTGCTTGCTCAGTAAGATCAAAATTTTGGATGATCTCTGTTATTTTGCATGTCTTACGTTATATACAATGCGACCCTTTGATGAAAGTATTCAATTCCAGCCCATTTCAATTTGTTGATGATTAATATGTTCATGTTTCTAGCAGTTTATTCGTTTTTTTAGTTTTGTACACCAACAAGAGTCCACTGGAGTTGGGTGGCCAATATATTTAAATAAATTAATAATAATGTGTGGTCATTTCACCTCATCTTTCACTGTGTTAAACAAGCATAAGATTAAATTAAAATTTTGAAATAGCGTTAGATTAATGCTATACATTAAAGCATCTTGTATCAACTAAGACTTTTAGAAGGTTACTAAAATCAATAATTAACTACAATCTCTTGCATGATTCTTAAGTCAAAGCAAAATGTTACAATATAACTTTTTATAAAGAATTCCATCTTTATGTAAGAATTAAAATTCATTAATAGTTTCAAGTTGAATTCTTCTTATTTGTTTTTCATATGTAAGGGTATTTGAAAATACATCAAGGCTTGGTGCCATAACTTACTTTGCCATTATTCTATGGATGGAATTAAAGATGTTTTCAAGTGAAAAGCATAGTTACCATATGCAAAACTAACTTACAAAGTCACAAATAGTATGCAAACAGTATACATCTGCAATCCCATACTTCCGGTCCTCCCTGGAATACTTTTTGCAAGTCTTTCACTTACTTAACAGCAACAGTTAATTCTATTTTTTCTATGGCAGGGTCCGTGCTATGAAATAAATTGCCACTGACACTGAAATCAGTTCTGCCTTCATTACCACTCAGGAAGGGGCATATTTCCAATTATTTATCCAGGTTTTTTAATATTTTACTCTTTATTGTTTATTATGGGGTTTTTTTAGAAAATATATATTGTTGCCACTCTATCCCCCAAATACCATAAAATGATGTAATAGAACACTGCCTTCAGAAAGATTGAAACAAATACATACAATCAGCTGGAAGAAGACTGAATATATAGCCCATGATCCATTCAGGCTCATCTCCTCAAAACTAGTAGCGTTAGAACTACTTTCCTATTGTCTACAGCTTCTTATTCTTTTAATTAGGCTTTGCTACACATTCTGCATGAAAAACATACAACCCACTAGTTATCTTACTATCCTTTCTAGAGTAAAAAATAAGAGGATATATAACTATTACTCTCATTCAATTGTAAATTATAGGACTGCATTTTGATTTTTTTTAAAAAATAAATAAATAAAAGGGCTTGTCTTATTTGTCATAAGGACCCAGTTCTTTATCACGCTTTTTCAGTGGCTTCCATTCAAAGCTTTTGCATACCTCTATGTATAACTCAACCATCAACATCACTTTGTATCACCACATTTTTTTTGCTTCTGTATAGAAACTCAAGAGACTTTATTCTCTTTAAGCCCACTGTCCATTTATCCTAATGGCATTAGTGACACCTACTTATATATGACAGAGTCTACCTTTTGCCTCCATATCACGTGGCCTTTTCCATCGTCAGCAAAGCTTATCTTGAAGTTCAGTACTTCACCTTCTTCCTTTTCACTCTGCTTATCACATCACCATCCCCACTCCCAATTCACGCCATCACACAACTCATGGCTACCCCATACACAAGAGACAACTCCCTTAATTTTCACACAAAAAATCCTTCCCACAGCATCAATGTATTGCTCACCCTGCCTTGTTGAGTACCTTGAGGATGACATTTAAAAGGCATATATTTAACAACGTGTCTGGTACGTAATTGGAACAACCCATTAGCAACCTTGCAGTCTCTTCTTCTTTTCCACTATCTCCTTGACTAGACAAAGAGAAACCTACTGCTCAGTTCTAGTTCCCTGATATTAGTTTACCTAATAAAATATATATTTTTCAGCCTGTTATGAGGTCAATATTGGGTATTTTCCTTCTCGGCTGGTTGAATGGAAACACAAGCTCTTTTGTAAGCTAGTAACTTCCCTGAATTTACAAGGCTTTATCACATATTCACTAGTTTAACTTACGTTGTACAATAATTTATCATTTTGCAGTGAATAGAACTGCAGGTGTCCCGGCTTGCCATTTAGAACCAAAGCCTTCGTTCTTGGATCAACTATCAAACCAGTCTTGACATCACTGCCTGAAATAAAAAAAAATGGTTTGAAGCAGAATGCCGTTTCTTCCTAAAACACAAAACACAATTCCATCCCCACCCCCACCCACCCCCACCCCCAAACCTTTACCCTACATACCTTTGATTAATCCTTGAATTACTGCAGAAACTTTCAGGTTGCTATGTATGATTACTATCTCTGTGTGTATAAAAAGAAGTTAATAAACGTTAAGAAAAAAAGGCTCACCGAAGGTAGACAAAAGTTATCACCTACAATTGGACAATTCAGAATATCTGCTAGAGCAGAAGATACTTCTATTAGGAAAAAAAAAAGAGCTTGCTTTTGAGGGCTGTTTAAATCTTGGCAGCATTTCTGTAATTAGGCCTGAAACAATTTGGTTGAAGCAGCAACCGATAGTACTTTGGTTGAGCAGCTTTCACAGAGGCCAGCAAACCTCTTTCTAGGACAGGGGTGTCAAACTGCCGATGCGTCATGCCAAAACTGTGCCCACCTCACTGCCCGGCAATGGACAAAAAGTCGCAATACGTCGCGACATGTCACGTGATGTTGCGAGTTTGACACCCCTGTTCTAGGATAAGGCTTTGAAGATAACCAAATGTCAGGTGACCTCAAAAGTAGTCCACTGTAATGCGTAGCTATTCTTGAAGGCTGTTCAAAATTAAAATTACTTTAGAATAAGGTAGCAGGACCATTTTGTACTGTAAGTCACTGTAAGTAGCTAACTCCCTCCTGTGCAACATGGATCGGGTGTATGTAGCTACCAATGCTTGATAGATTTCAGCTTAGGTCGTCTAATCAGCACAGTACGTTATGGAAGCTGGACTCCAAAATATCTGGAGGCTCAACAGCTCCCCAGTGCAGAGTTGCGGCAGCCATAATTTTGGGACCAAGTCATGGAGGGAGGGGGGGGAAATCTGCTGTAACTTTGAAGGGTCACTAAGCGACCAGTTGAGGACTACCCGTATATTATAATAAATTTCATACGTTAAACCAAAAAGCAATGACAAATCTTCCCGGTTTGGTCTTACTGTTATCGGAATGTGAAGTACAAAGGAGAGTTCCATCAGGTGAGACAGAGATGTGCTGTATTGTGGCCCCTAAACGAGGCAAGAATTCCTTTTTAGCATCTGACCCATCTCGCCACTGAACCAGCACTGATTCGATCCCACCACTCAAGAGGCTAGTGCCTGTTGTTCCAAACAAAAGGGAAAAAAAATGGGTCAGAGGGCGGATGAATCTATTAACAACCAATAAGAGAATAACTTATAATAACTTACAGTAAGAATAACAAATAAGAAGCCAAGAATAACCGAGCAGCGGTTCTCAATTGTTTTCAATGTACTCCAGTGATTTAAATTGTTTTACATTTATGCCATTGCTAATAAGAAACAAAGCCAATTCTTGCTTTGGCTGAGTAGCCGGTACAAGTATTTGGATCCTAGGAGGACTTGTCATACTAAGTGGAATTAAAAAGGGCTATAAGACCACAATCTTGCACAAAATGACTGAGGAATGAGCTCCGTGAACTGACTCCCTCCAAATTGTGCCAGCACTCTGTATGATAAATGTCCTGCTGGAAAGGTGTATAATGAGCATATCTTTTTATCTCTGTATATAACAGGTCTCACAAACCAAAATTCAACTTCTATAATACTATGGTTAACATTTGCTTTAACAAGGGATTAAGGTTTTTCTTTTCACGAAAGAAGCAGGATTTTCAAGCCAAACCTTACGCTTTGCTTACGTTAGCAGAAAAATATGTTCTGCTGCCACACAGCAAAATTCCTCCTCTTTCCTGTTCAAATAAGAAGCCAAGAATAAAATAAACACCACAGGGGCCACCTCAAGTGCTTGGCAAGGTCCAGAAGTTTCCAACAGAGACAGATGATTTTCCCCCAGCTACTTAGGGAATGGCTCAGCTTCCCTGTTTACATACCCTGACATAAAACAGGCATAACCATTTTATTACCTTGCCATTAATCAACCTATAACCATGATTCTGTTTTTGCTGTGAACCCATTTCTAAACCCTCGTCTTTGATAGATTTACAGGTCGTCCTCGACTTACAACTACAACTGAACCCAAAATTTCTGTTGCTAAGTGAGGCGTTTGTTAAGTGAGTTTTGCCCCCTTTTCGTGACCTTTCTTGCCACGGTGGTTAAGTGAATCACTGCAGCTGTTAAGTCAGTAACGTGGTTGTTAAGTGAATAAGGCTTCCCCACTGACTTTGCTTGCCAGAAGGGTTGCAAAAGGTGATCACATGACCCCGGGAAACTGCGACCGTCATAAATATGAGTCAGTTGCTAAGCGTCTGAATTTTGATCACATGACCATGGGAATGCTGCTATTGTTGTAAGGGTGAAAAGCAGTCATAAGTCACTTTTTTCAGCATCACCGTAACTTACGGTCACTAAATGAACTGTAATAAGTCGAGGACTATCTGTATTTAGCATATCAAACTGTTTTTCTTGTATGTTTGATGCTTCTGTGTTACATTTTCAGCAGTCTGCATATTTGCAGGTCGTCAAAATGTGTGTGCTTGAAAGATTAGTAGCATATAGAATACCCCAAAATATTCCCTCTTAAAACTGGGCTTTCATAACTCGGGCAATTTTACCTTCTACAGAGAAAGCAAGATCGATAACTTCATTGTGATGCCAATGCATTGTAGAAAATGTATATTCTCTCTTATGGTTAAAATTTCTCCTGTAGGAATAAAAAAACATATTGAATTGCTATTAACTTCTCAAAGAGTTAAAGAGGAGCTAATATACAAATCACTTGGTCAAGTGTTAAACCAACCTTTCCCCAATCCAGTGGTGTGAATTTCTCTCTCTAGCCAGCCAGCGTGGCCAATACAGAGAACTGAGGACACTGAAATCTGCATATCCAAAGACACTTAAGCTAAAGGCATCTGGGCTAAGTATTTTTAATTCCTGAGCTTGCAAAGTAAAAATGTTTACTTTTTACATTATCCCTAGCCCCTACCAAAGAAAATATAGGTGAAAACACATATCTGCTTTCACAGGTGTTATCACTTGCCTGGATGTAAACTACTGTAAAGGGATAAGTAATAAGCCTTTTTGAAAAGCAAAGCCTTTACATTTGACTCAGAGAAGAGTACAGAAGACAATTGCTCAGGGATGGGTCAGATTTGGAATTTTGAGAACACACCTCTGTCACGTACAAAATAGTTGTCATGAGACACATGTCTATTCACAAAATAAGTGTTACAGTGAATGTGGCCAGTTATAAAGAGCCATTTGCCGAAAGCAACAAGCCTCCATCTATACGTTTTTAAAACTATCCCATCTGAAGGAACTTTCTAGGTCCAAAGACACTGTTGCAAAACAAATGCGCTAGAACATGGTGCCTTGTAGCAAGCATACCAGCTTTCTATTTCATTCTCAATTAGCATTTTGAATCAAGTGTGTAGCCAAATGTATACTGCAGGGGTCTTCAAACTTAGCCCTTTTATGACTTGTGGACTTCAACTCCCAGAATTCCTCAGCCAGCGTGCCCGGCTGAGGAATTCTGGGAGTTGAAGTCCACAAGTCATAAAAGGGCCAAGTTTGAAGACCCCTGGTATAATGAAATGTATGCTTTTTTCAATGCCGTCAAAAACTATTTCATTTTTTTTTCTTTACATATAGAAAACATCTGGATTAAGAACCGAACGCCTCCTGCTATCATTCATTGATTTATCAAATTTGCATAGCTTTGCATACATTTTTTGTCATTAGCCCCCAAGAATGATCTCAAAGCAAGTCCCATCACTCAAGATAAGTAGTTTTAGCTACACTATCCCTGCAAATCTGAATTCTTTGCCAGAAGACTGTCCTCTAATTGCAACAGCCTTCTGGAAAAAAATATCTTTCCTTTGTTATGTTCTGAATGCAGCCCCTCACGCCATATTATTAATCCACATTCCCATGAAGGACAATCATCGCCTGTGATTAAAATTTAGGAATGTTAATACATTTAATCTACTGTCAGAAGAAACATCTGCCTCAGGTCTTCCAAGAATGAGCACTATTCTGCTTATTGTCAAGGCTAGTTGTCTTAAGGTTTTATTTCTCTGTACAAGCCCGTTGGCGATGTGATATTTCAAGCTGGGCTTGATAGTATTAATTTTATTTATAATCTTGTGATCTGTAATGGATTGAATCCCCCCCCAATCTCTTCAGAGTGACATTTTTCTTAATTTGCAATAAATCAGTGCCATCTTACAATCTGCATTGAACGTATTCTCATCTGACATTCTTCAATTCATTGGAAAACAGCTTTTTACCAAGCTCTAGACCAGGCATGCTCAACCTGCAGACTATGTACAGCCCTGGACAACTAGTAATGCAGCCCCAAGATCATAATGGAGGTTTGCTATCTATATACATTTAACTATATATGGTTTATATGCAGCCCAGGACAACAACTCTTCACTCAATGAAGCCCAGGCAAGCCAAAAGGTTGGACACCCTTGATCTATTCTAGGCAGTACAGTTTTGCCATACACTTGGGTATATGCTGGTGGCCAGAGGTTAATACTCTGACCTTACATTTTTCAGGAAATATGTGCTTAGAAACAGCTGCCAATCCCAAGAATAACAAATGCTTGCCTCACCAAAGACGCATTTTGCCATCTTTGTGTCCACTTGCTATGCAGTCTTCCTTTGGGTGACAGGCTACGCAGGTGAAATAGCTGGTTGAAGCATTCCTAAGATTTTTACCTACAGAGAAGCTTCAAAAATAAAAGTTAGAGCTTAGTTAGTTGCAGCTGTTAAGCAGAATTACCCAGGAAATTAACAAAATTAAAATGCTAACTGCAAGAGCCATCTCCTAACCAGAATGCAGCATATGCAACAACACAAAGATAGAAGACTGCAATAGCGTCTACAAGGGACTACCGTTTGAAGTCTATTCAGAAACTGATTCAGAATATTGCTGCCATCTCTGTATCTATTTTGACATGCATTTCATTTGCTTGGTATTCAGGAGTCCAGCCAACTTCCAACTTAATTATTGGATACTTCTATGTTCAAAAGGTTTGGGGGGTAGGAATGGATTCCATGAAGAAGAACATGTATATCTTTTTAATTTCTCCCTTAATCTATTTTCCTTTCTCTTTCATTGTTGTCCCTGGATGGAAATCAATTATGCCAGCCGCAGAAATTGAATTGACTGGAAATTCTGGAACATTTAAGGACTGAGTTTGAAAGATACTTGACCTTTCCACCTCTTCCTTTTCTAATAAAGAATTCTGGGAAGCCAAAATAGAAAATGCTTAATCAATATCCACAGACACCTTTAAAAACTGGGCCAACCAAATAGTGGTAAGCATTTGATCTTTTGCATTTTTTTTTCAAATTGCATGTTGTTACTTAAAGCAAATCATAACAACAACTCGCAACAAGTTGCCTCTAGGCAAGATGGGCGGTACAAATAAACAAATTCATATTATTACAATAGAATACATTTCTGGATCGCCAAATTATTTTTATTTTTATTTAAACGTTTTCTATATACATCCATCCTACGAATCACAATCCTGGGCAGCTTATGAGCAATAGTAAAACAGTAAAAACAAGCCATTAAAATCCAACAAGGACTCTCCCAATGCTCCTGACACATCTAAAAAAACCAACAACATAAGATTACCCAGGGCTCCATCTCCTATACATAGTAAGGATGTGTTAAAAGCCACCTCTTCCTAGGTTTTCACAAGGCCAGCAGGATAGGGGCCTGTCAAATCTTAAGGGGAAAGGGTGTTGCAAAAGGACAGGGCTGGCGGTCGAAAAGGCACACCTCCTGGGTCCCACTAGGCCAGGGGTAGGCAACCTTGGCTCTTTTATGACTCGTGGACTTCAACTCCCAGAATTCCTGAGCCACCATGGCTCAGCTTGGAAACTCTCCCTTTCCCCTCAGCATGGCTGGCTCAGGAATTCTGGGAGTTGAAGTCCACGAGTCATAAAAGAGCCAAGGTTGCCTACCCCTGCACTAGGCAGAAATATTCAAGGGAAAGAACTTGGACCATGCTCACCCTATTCAACCTGCTGGAACAGGAAGACATCCTCAGAGGGAGGCAGTCCCACAAGTATCCTGCCCCCTTGTCACTCACGGCTTTAAAGATGAAGCCAGAAATTTCAAAAAAGCACTTTCATTACTGGTTTATAAATAGTTTTTATTTGTAGTAGCCACACATCCTTACAGAAAATCTAATCAATTAACTGGTTAAACCTGAATTGGATGTTCTTTTTTAAAAAAAAACTCAAATCAACAGATTCATCCCTCTATAGCCAAAAGAGGAAGTAAAGAAGAACTGATTCATATTGCTTTGGATTTTACACAGTAGTCAACTTATGCTTTTAATTCTCACCTGTAAATCTTATTCTTCTTGAAGAAGCAAACAACAAGATGAAGCTTCCAGACTGATACTACATATTCACCCTGTTCATAATGAAAATATAGTTGGAGATTTCAACCAGCTTCAACTTAAATCTTACTTTGCTTAAGCAATTTGTTGAAAATGCCACTTTTAAGTTGCGAACCGGGGCTTTAGAATATACGGATGAGTGCATAAATTGTAATAAGCCAAAATCAAGGAAAAAATATAGCTTGGTGCAAGGTATGAACTTGGATTTGCTTTCTGTCAAGATCTTAAATCTTTACGTCAAGATACCTGTCAAGATCAAAACATTCATTTGACTATAAAAATAATTAGAACAGTTGGGAATGTGACAACTAATAGGGGACTACAAGAGAAGCCCATTAATTTAAAGCAAATCCCTAAAAGTGACCTCATGCACCGGGAGGCGATCCCGTGCCTTGCAAATATTTTGGACCTGCTTTCATCGGCCTCAGTCATTATGACACATGACAACAGATCGTAGAAGTTGTAGGACAAGACATCTGGAAATCATTAGACTACCCATTCCATTGTTAAAAACACCAAGCAGTTACGTGTTTGATAATGCAACACAGCTGTCACTGAAATGAACCATTTCCACATCACAAACTGGACGGGGAACAAGGCTTTAGTCAAGAAGAAAAACTGTAATTTATAAAGTTTACCATGAAGGAACTTTGGAGAAGAAAGGAAACAGCATGTATGCTGACTGACACAAATAAAGCACTGTTGACTCCCTGAACAGGCCATCTAGTTTTTTTATCACCCGTATCACAGATATGTGCCCAAATTTTTGCTTTTCCCCTGCAGCAGACTAATCAGAGAGATAAAAAGAATGATCTGGAGCCTGATTACCCCAAACATTTCTCGGTATAATGTGTATGTTACGCATGTATCCTCCTTGCCAGACAGTAGGCTCGGAAATCCATTCATCTTCTGGTCTACTTGGAGGATTGTATTTATTTAAAACTAAAATAGATTGTTACAGACTTCATCTTGTTTATTTTTGATGAAATTGGTTTACCTCCCAAGGAGGGAACAAAAGCCTGAAAAACTCTAGTCCCTTGCCTATACACTACCTCAGAGGTCCCCAACCTTGGCCACTTTACGATTCGTGGACTTCAACTCCCAGAATTCCTCAGCCAGCCATGCACTACCTGACCGAAAAGTAGTGGGTTTTTTTTAAAATACTTTTAATTTTTGACCATTTAATCATCAAAAAGTCAGCACAGATTTTGGGAAAGAGTGGGATGACTGATGGTGTTCTCCCATAAGTGACAACAGGGAATTACCAAGCCACTAACCCATCTCCACAGGATCAGCCATTTTTGCTACAGCTTAACAATAAAGAAAGTATACATACATCTCTTCCAAATGCAGTACATTTGGGCGACTGGCTTATACCATTTAAAACCATTTCTAGCTCATTGGCTTCCACTTCTTGATCGGGTGTTTTTGGAAGTTTCACTGTCATTAGTTGAAACGTATCTGGTGAAATAAATATTTTTTTATTAATAAATTGGTGGTACAAATGGATACGAGCTGACAGTAAGATGTTAATTTAATCATGGCTTGCAGATTAAGGAATAACAATCAAGTTCACATATCATATTGAATCAAAATTAAACAGCATTTTAGTACAATGCATAAATCAGGCCAGTTTCTCCTATGGCTTGAATTATAGAACACATTCATTGAACTCACAAGAGAAATTCTTCCTAACCTGCTCTCCCCATCTCCCAATTCTCTCTAGAGAGATAAAGAATTGGAGCTAAATTTAGAAAAATCTACTTTGGCTTCAGCTTTGGGATAAATTCATGATGCTCCTTCATTTCACCCATCATGGAAAGTCAATGAACATCACCCTAACCATAAACGTTTATTAACCACTTCACATGACAGGTCTTCAAGTTCCAAGAGCCATATGATTACATTATTCTATTTATACCAAAAGAATGACACATTGATAGGTTACTTTTTAGATCACTGATTTACAAAAACATCATAATAAAACTATTAGCATTCAATCGCAGCACTTCATATTGTTTTGGCAACTTGCTTACCACAAGTATACATCTAAAAACCCTGTCAAATAGTTAGCAATCCTGAGCTGGGGAGGAGAAAACAACCTTAAAATAAAGTCAGTAATTCTGAGAATGTAAGAGAGCTCATATATGCCTACTTTTATTTTTCATAATACAAGAGGTAAAGTCCCACAAGCAGTGAATTTATTTTACCCTAGCCTTCCATTCTTTAACCAAAGTTTCAAAGAGGTTTACGAGAACATAAGATCTACAGAAGAAAATGGACATAGGTTACAACATACCTGATTTTTCATCGTTAGGATTTGAAATGATGATAAATGCAGAATTCTCCAAACTTGCAAGGGTGTAAAATGCAAAGAGTTTAGACCCAACAACAAATGTCTGGAAGAAAAGAACACAGCAACACAATACCTCTATTAAGTCTCAGCCAACCTCAAAATGAAATCCTGGCAAGAAATACAATTTGTCCTAAGTTCCAAGCAGCTTCTGAAAGCAGGAGAACAAGAAAAAAGATACTCCCTGTCCCATATTCCCAACGTGGTTTATTCTTTTGGTTTGGCTTGGTTAAAACATACTTGCTCTTATGCCAGTACAACTGAAATTACTGCAAGAAAATTGTAATAACAATCATACTGAGCAACCATAACCAAAGATAACATACTATTTTTTCTAGTCTTAAAAGCCACTGAAAAACATAAAACCTGCCATCTATACATCAGGTTAAAATAATAATAAAATAAAAAATAACATCTACTAATATGAACATATGTCTAAACATATAAATTTGGAACATTGATGACATTAAACAATATCTCAATATTGAAAAAGAACAGGCTCACAACATCCCAAATCCCCAAAACCTCCTGAACAGCCAGGTTTGCATATCCTTCAAGATCATTAGGAGCCATTTGAATTTCTGGATAAATTTTGTTTGATATTTTAAATTATGTCTTGGATTAAATTTCATGTGCAGTAAATGATTTCATTAGCCAACATGTGGCTTGCATGATAATGGCATATTATAGCCCGGCCATCATACAAAAATCACACCTAACATAATCCCAGGCTAGATAATGCATATTACTTAATTTAACTGCTGAAATCAAGGGTATTTTTGGCATCATTAGGTACAAATCTATTTACTAATCTGTGATTTGATATCTTTGTGAGGATAAATTATGAATGATGTGTAAAAGATTAAAGAAAAGGAAAATTGAACAAACCTTGATAAGAATTCCATCCATAAAATCCCAGAGTTTAATAGTGCCATCTAGAGACGATGAATAAAGCTAGTACGGAAAGAGGGGAAAAGAAGTGATCTATAAGTTTCAATGTAGATAGATGTAGAAAAAAATGTTGAGTTTCAGTACTCCTAGTGCAGTGGTTCTCAACCTTTTTAATGCCGCGACCCCAACCGGTCGTAAGTCGAGGACTAAACTGGTCGTAAGTCAAGGACTACCCAACTGGTCATAAGTCGAGGACTTTCCCTGCCCGGGAGCGCCGCACATGCGTGGTTCCGCCCCCTGCGCCGGCCAAGGCGTAGCTGGCAAGCGGCAGAGATGGAGCAGGCCGACCACCAGCTGGCCCAGCCCAAGGGAGGTAAGGCACCCGCCGGAAAAGGGAAAAAAATGGCGGACAAAAAAATGGCGGACGGCCTTGCTTGGCGACCCCCGTGAAATGGTCGATCGACCCCAAATGGGGTCCCGACCCACAGGTTGAGAACCACTGTCCTAGTGGCTCTTGCTATATTTATGACATTATAGCATGTGATATTTTTAATGTATTTGGCTAAAGCATTTAGCTAAAAATCATGTACACATACCGTGTTTCCCTGAAAATAAGACCCACCCCCCAAATAAGCCCTAGCCTGATTTTTTTAATACAAGTCCTATCCCAAAAATAAGCCCAGGGGGGGATCCTAGCTGAATCTTCAATCATCAGAGATAATGGAAATTGAGATCCAAAAAATTTAGAAAACAAGAGTTTCCCTAATTTTGTTTTAAATTGTGCAGGCCTCAAATGGCATGGAACTTTTAACCTGCACAAGAAACAAGTAAGTTAATGCTGCTGGACTGGTATATGCCCAGCAATTTGATCCAGAAGTGTAGCCTTCTAGATAGTGAAAAGTAAAAGCCATATACAGTGAAAAGTTAAAACCAAATTTAGAGTGATCGTTAATCCTACTTTCAGCAGACTTCAATTTTCAATTATTAGCCCTTTATATGTTCGTCTAACCCAGGGGTGTCAAACTGCCAGCCCGCAGGCCGGACGTGTCACAAGGAAACCACGCCCACCCCATTGCCGGTAATGGGGGAAAAAGTTCCGATACGTCACGAGTTTGACATGTCTGGTCTAACCCAATGATGTTTGAATTAAATTACATGCAAGAATTAAGTTAAAAAATGCTTTAATCAAACTGATAACAACCTGTAAATGATTTTGAGGATTCAACTGGATTCCTGTCACTAGATTGGTATGACCTTGTAGGATATGTAGACATTCTTCTGTAAGTGTACTGTAGACTTTAATGTAGTCACCTGAAGCACATAGGAGATACCTGTAAATGATTCAAAAAAATTAATTTAAAAGGCATCTATGTAATTCTAACAACATACTGCATATTAATTAGAATTAGAACACGATTCCTCAGACCTTTAACATTAAAGCTAAAAGACTAAAATAAAAAGGTGCTCAAAATCTACTAAACTATGTGACAGATCAGCACTAAAACTCTGTATTAAACCTAGGGTGCATTCATTCAAAAGCAGAATATGTGATAAAGGTATTTTCAATAATTATGAAGCAATAATAACTTTATTAAGATTCATATACTTGTATTATTTTATATTTCACATCAATACAAAACAAAACATAGGCCCACCACCTGAAATTTACAAGCCAAAATCCAAGAGAAGTGATGTCCTCAGTCTACAGGAAAACAAAAGAATTGTGTGTCTATTTTTACGTGCTCAAACATATTGACCTAATTGAGAATCCCAAAGGTTCTTTTTCAGAGTTATTGCCTCTTGAAAAAGCACCTTTGGGACAACCATGACTTGGATGCCTGAGAATCTCTATAGATCTAATTGAGAACTAAATCTAGATTCTCTATTCAGAAAGACTAAAGATTACAGCACGAATCGTAATAAGAGGGAAGCCACATTCCAACTGCAGATCCTATGGCACTTTCTCCTTTTGAAGTGACATTGCCGACTGCAAATTCATCTAAAGAGGGAGTAAATTTTTGGAGCTCAAAAGCAGTTGCCTAAAGATATCAACAGCATATAACCCGACCATCTATTCAGAAAAGACATACCACTTCAATCAGTTGAATATTCCCACTTATATGTCTGCAGAATGTATAAGTGCAAGCATTTTATATACAAGTGCATTGCACGCGCGCAGGTACGTGTCAATAAAATAAATACCGTCCTTCCTGTAATCGCAGCTTTCTCGCGTAATGGAAATTCGCCGCCTAAGAGAAAAGAAAAAAACTCTTCAACTCTGAATTCTACTAACTTCGAATCCGCAGAAAACACCGCGCGACACCCGCTCAACCAGCTCCCGCCGCAGCGAACCACGCGGAGTTCCTCCCGCGCCACCATTTTTCGACACGAGCCGACCTCTGACCTTCATGCCCCTCCCCTCCAGGAAATCCAGGAAGAACAGCCGCAACTTCTCTAGCTAAAATATTTCCTGCAGCTCTATCGTATTCGGTCCTCCTTTCCGATAAAGGAAGTGAAGGAGGGGCGCCTTCCGTTTTGTTGCTTAACGTTTCAAGCTTTCGATTAAAGTACTGATCCATAGAGAGGGATTAGACTACTAGAGTGTCTCTCTTGCCCCAGCTTGGAGGGGGGTGGTGTCATATTGAAAGCGGAGGAGGTTTGTTTAAGGAGGTTGGTGTGAAAGGTAATTTGAGTTTGGCTAGCAAGAAATTTGCATAGGAAAATACATCTGCAGAAGCTTTGTCATAGCTTTGTAACTTTAGTGATTTCCCCCGATTTGCAATTTAAGATGCAGAGGCTTTAACTATGGATCTATGGCAGTGTAGAGCGACACCGTTGAGTTGCAGACGAGGTTGTCCGAGATGACTTATAGAGAAAAGTTTGTATAGTGTAGTAGTGTACCCAGCCTATGTCAAATTTCCTATTTGAGTCGAGGCTGCTCTGTTTTCGCAATAGTTCCGGGCTCAGTTGAGTACATCGGCTAATAAAACTTAAGGAACTAAAACCTAAGTTGAAATAATGCTTTGTTATTAATTTTGTGGGTTCTGTGAATTGTTTCAAAAGACATGCTGTCTTACATACATTAAAACCATTGCATACACTAAATGCATTTAAGAGCTAGTTTGGTGTAATGATTAAAAGGCACAAAAAAGACCAGCTGGGTAATCCTAGATTAGTCACTCTTTCAGTCCAGAGAAGCAGGCAAAGGCAAACCACTTCGGAAAATCTGGCCGAGGAAGTCACAAGGATTTGTCGCCAGGACTCAATACTGACTCGAAGGCGCACACCCTCCCCAAAACATTTAAGTTAGAGCAAGGATGGGAAATAAAAAAGTATTGTGACTGCAAAAATGGGGTTCCCACAAGAAAGATAAGCAATTCGCTCAATACGAAAATACAATTATTCTCCAAATTTTATAGTTTGGGTGTCATCATCACTCTTAAACAGCATTTTGGATTTGCTGACTTCCTCCAAGCTTTCTGCTTCCAAATGCAATGCAAGTCTCAAGTAAAACAATCCAGCTTAATTGTTCCTCTGACTGCAATCAATAACTCAATGGCATATAGAAGCTTTATATTCTGTGGCGCATATAGGACTGTCTGGATAAGCAAAAAAAAAATATCAAGTCGTACACTATATCAATTAGGATATGAGTCAATCTTATTTGTAACAAATCTATGCTAAAGATGCCAAGCCCCTCCCCCGCCGGCCTTTTCCCATAGTCCTCTTTGTATCTCGTGCTCCAGTTTTTCGCCAGCTTCACTTCATTGGTTGCAAGGCGTGCTCGTCATATCGCGCACCCAATCAAAATCAGTGTGGTCATTCAATCGCTTCTGCTTCAAAGTCCCGAGAAGAAGCGGACGAGCGTGGCAGGAGGGTGGGCTAAAATTGTACGTATGTCTGCGAGAATTAAATAACCAGATTAATATTTTACAGATTTTTAGAGGCGGGCAGCGGTGGGAGGGAGCGTGCTTTGGGGAGGTTAAGTCTGAGGATACCCTAGAGCAGGGGTAGGCAACCTCGGCTCTTTTATGACTCATGGACTTCAACTCCCAGAATTCCTGAGTCAGCTATGCTGACTCAGGAATTCTGGGAGTTGAAGTCCATGAGTCATAAAAGAGCCGAGGTTGCCTACTCCTGCCCTAGAGCAGGAGCGGGGGAACTATGGTCCTTTTATGACTTATAGACCTTAACTCCAGGAATTCTGGGAGTTGAAGTTTACAAGTCATAAAGGAGCCATAATTTCCTACCCTTGCTCTAAAGCAGTGTTTCTCAACCTTGACAATTTTAAGGCATGTGGACTTCAACTCCCAGAATTTTTCAGCCAGCAATGCTGGCTGTGGAATTCTGGGAGTTGAAGTCCACATGCCTTAAAATTGTCAAGGTTGAGAAACACTGCAGTCTAAAGTTTCTGGTTGAGGGTGGATTTACCTGCTGTGAGTCGCTTACTTTCTTGGCCTCGTGTAAACCAAGAATGGACAATATGTACCCCTTCAGAGGCTGAACTCTAATTCGCATTAGCCCTCTTTAATGCGGCTGATGAGGACATGCTGGGCCAAGGATGCCTTTCCTTACAGGTGTTTTCTGAAACAGCAAACCCCATGCAGTACCTGAGAAGGAGTGAACTGCTCAAAATCACCCTAAGAATTTTATAGCTGAGAATAGATTTGAACCTGGACCTCTCTCTGTTCTTGAGTCCGATGTTTATTTAATTTATTTATTTATAACCAACCTTTATTTATTTTTTTAATAAGTCATGGCTGGAAACATACCTAATACACTTTCCTCCTCCTATTTTCCCCACAACAACTACTCTCTGAGGTCAGCTGAGAGAGAGGGACTGGCCCAAAGACACCCAGCCAAATCTCATGCCTAAGCTGGGATTTGAGGATCAGTTCATATTGCTGGGCTGGAGAATATAAAGAATATAGAGAAAAAGAAGTGACGATGCTCACCTATGTTGTGCCCAAACTTTGGCTCGCATAAAGCATCTACATCACTTTGAAGATGCAACATAATTGTATCGGCGTGTGGTCAATAAAACAGTATTTCCTGGACTCCCAGCTGAGCCTTGGCAGTGTGTTGGCAGCCCTGAGCAAAGGCAGAATGTATACAGGCTAATACTGTATATAACTAGTGGTAATGGCTATTATTGATAATGGCCTACTACATTGTAAAGGCAGGACAAAGAAAAAGGTAGACATAATGTAAATTACAGCATGACATTGGAATATGTGAGATAAACCTATCTGGCTGACCATATTATTTATCCCTTCCAAGTATGGCAGGTGCTATACTTGGAATATAGTCAGTGAATAGTAACAATGCAGTTTCCTCAGCCATAGGTTCCTGACACATTCTTCCTCCTGGCACCTCTAAGAGTGAACTCAGCTTGCTGTGAATGTTTTCTTACACTGTTCCTTCAAGCAGTTCAAAAGAATTGGGACAGGAATATCTTGGAGGTTTGGTTGTGAAAGCAGCTCAAATGCATATGGGAGGGGTACTTTTATCACCACACCTATTCACAAAAGACATGCAGCTCTCTTCCTTTATATGGAGATTTTGCATTGGCTACTGGCTGTGAATGTAATTGGAGAATTACTCTGGTTTCTTGCTTTCTTCAGGTCTTGAGATCTTGTCACCTTTAAACTGTCAAAGGAGCAGTAAGTGATTATATCTGGCATCGAAAAAGAACCTGGGGTCTTCTGACCAGTCAACAGGAGCAGATGTCAAGCCCGGCACTACTAGGGGAAGGGGGGGAAGAGTCAAAGTTGCCTGATAAAGAAGAGCTGAACAGAAAGGTCAGTGGAAAAATAATGAAATTATAAGAATGAGAGACACTAATATGAACAAGGTACATTGTAAATGCTGATGGTAGAATCTTGATAAAATAGCACTAAACTCTGCTTTTACAAGATGCGACAGAGTAACTTTCAGAAAGGAATCCTGTTTAGCGATACCAACAGTTGTATAGCCCAAAATTAATGTGCTAAACACACATTAAGGATCAGGCTTCATTAGACTTGGGCTTATATGCAGCCTAATGTACTTTGTTGAAATAATAATTTCTCTTTAAAAATATGATTGTTCTTTTAAAAAAGCAATTCTCACCGAAAGGGGATGCTCCTTTTTACAAGGAAATACAGTTTGGATTATTTTGAATTTGTAGAAACTGCCAAAAATATGCATTTTTTTTCTCCTTGCTGAAGCTGGAGAGTTAAAATATCTTTGGTTGGGCTTGTTGCAAAAATTATAGGTGAATATATAAAAAAAATTGCTGGGTGTGGGAAAATAGATTTGTCATCTGAATCCATGTGATAATAATAAGTGTCTTAAAATCTGAGCTTTAAAACTTTATATTTTAATTATAGTGGATGCAGTCTCTAACTATAACTATTTAAGTTTTCTTGTTGACTGAATCATTTTAACCATGTTTGGGATAGAAGCATTTCTATACAGAATACCATTCATTGGAATGACTTAAATGTATGTCTGAATTAAATTCTGTGTTTCTACTCATGTGATTACTCAAGGGAATTATAAAAAAAATCAAAACAAAAATTCAAAAATTTAAAACAAATTAAATGTTTAAATTATAAAGCAATTGAAAGTTAAATGTTTGGTGAAAAGATGGGCTTTTAAAAGTTTTCTGAATGCAGTGGAGACTAAGCGATAGCTCCTGGAGAAGTAAATCCTGTAGGCTGCAAGCAATATAGGAGAATCACTCTTTTGTCCGCCAGATAGCTCAATCTGTGTTAGTAGGGCCATCTCCTATTTGCATGTTCCTTGACTCTTTTGTGTGAAGAAGATGGTAAGAAGCCTACACAAGAATTTCTAAACAGACATCACTTTGTCAGATTTTATGATGGAATAAACTTGATACATGTAAATAAGATGTGTTTATTTTACTTTTTAAAATGTATATTTCTATATATGTGTTAGGTAGATTTAAAAAGTTAATTTACAAATTACGCTTAGAAATCTTGGGCTTGTTTTTCATGGAATTGAGACCTTTTTTCATCTTGCAGATTAAAGAGCAAAAAATTGTAGTTGATGAACTTTCCAACTTGAAGAAGAATCGTGTAAGTGACTATAACTGTCCTAGATTATCCTAAAAAAATAAACTAAAGCTAAAAAAAATATCTTACCTCTTTAGTGTTGAACTTTTCAGACTGTTTCTTCTTAATTTGCAGAAAGTTTACAGACAGCAACCGAACAGCAACATATTCTTTCTAGCAGACAGAACTCAAACTCTCTCCGAATGCAGAAGTATGTTCTTCAAATACATTTATATTTTAGATATATTAGAAACATAACAAAGATGATAATGTTCAGTGAGATGAATGGACATTTTTGTTTACTCTGGTGTTATAAAATATTGACATTTCTATATATGCTCAATGGATTATTTTTTTCTGAAGTTATAAAATAATGCTACAAGTACAGAAATTCAATATGTGTATGTGCAGGTAGTCTTCATTTAACAATGGTAATTGGGACTGGAATTTCTATTGCTAAGCAGTGCCATCATAATGCAATGCAATGCAATATGACCACACTGCTTAGTGACAGAAGTTCCAGTGCTTTCATTAGTGTCATTGAGCAAATTCCATGATGTCATTAAGCACAGCATCACATGGTTGCCATTTGCAACCTCCTTCCAGCTTCCCCCTTCCTTTTGCTTGTTGGAAACTCAGTGAAAGCCATAAATGGTGGCTACAGGATGTTGCAGTGCCATTATTGCAAGCCAGTTGCTAAGTGCCCAGATCGCAATCACGTGATGATGGGGATGCTGTGAGTATTGTGTCAGAGCATGCACAGTCTTATTGCGCTGAGGTAACCCAGGAGACAATACAGTAAACAGTGGTTTGTAATTAAGTGGTGGTTTATATTACACTATATCTACAAATATATACTAGAAATAAGATACATACATGTGGTGAAACAGCAAACTCAAATACACAGCAGTTACAGCAGTCAAACGGATGAGAGAGAAAAAAAACTAAAGTAAAAAACTCCCCTTTTATACTCAGTCTCTTAAAGGGATACACACACCTGCTGAGTCATTCCTATATTGCATCATCCACATTACATTACATCAGCTGGTTAGCCTTTAAATTATTACTTTGACATGTAAGTACAAGAGCCAGTCATAAGTACCATTTGTTCAGTGCTGTTTTAAATTCAAACAGTTGCTGAACAAGTGATTGTTAAGCAAGGACAGCCTATATAAACTTATGATAAGTAGCTCTGAATATTAGACAGGGAGCAATGATCCAGCTCTCTCTTTAAATATATCCACATGGCCACTTTGGAACTGTATCTTATGAAAAGGACAATATAAAATGAACAGGCTTTTGATCTTAGCTTTATGAATAAAACAGTGACTAGGATGACAAGAAAAAAATCTTGAAAAGTAGGTAAAATTCTGACTTCCGGCGAAGAAAAACCAAACTGAAGGTAGTTCCTCTAAAGGCAGAGCCAGCAGCTAGGGCAGAAAAAAGCTGGAGAGTAGACTAGCTCTTCATAATTCTTATCCAAAAAGGAGAAAAAAAACACAATAGATCCAAAAGATACTGAGTTTGCATATTTCCTTTTCTAATCACTTTTGGAAATTGCTTGTTAGCTACTTTTCAGCTATTAGGAACCTTTGAATCATCAAACTTTATAGCACTGGGTGAGTTTCCTTCAAGCAAAAGAAAATAATTGGAGGGAAGGAAAAAACAGCATAAGGGTGATTAGAACTTTGATTATGGAAAGTTATAAACAGACTAAGAGCCCACACATATTTGAAATAAGGTCCTGGAATTGATTATAAGAATCCTTCCCATGGGAAAATACTTTTTTTAAAAAAAAAATCTTTAAAAACATGATAGGCCGAGACTTGGACGCTAAAGGAAACCAGAAGGAACTAAAGATTATAGTGGAAGGAGACTACTTAAATTTGATTTACTAATATAGAAAGAAGCAAAATATTTTAACGTTGGATATATTGAAGGATGTTTTTGAACAATGGACATTAAAAGTTTCTACCTTCTTTATTCAAGAATAAGTTTTACTGGACAAGATAGACTGGTCTGAAAGTGGATTGAAAAATGACAGGCTACAAGAATGATAATAGAAAAAGGATGCTACACTGGGCCTCCAAAGGAAACCAGCTGATTTCTTCATAATAATTAAAAAGGGTTATACAAATAACAAACTAAGAGAATGACCTGGCTAATTTGTCTGTATTGTATTTGCAAAAGAGCTTTAAAGCTTTGAAGAATTTTGTGAAAAAGACAAAGGAGAGATGAAAAAAAAATGAAGTTGTAGGACATTATTTGAAGAAACTAGAGATCAAAATGATTAAAAGTAAAAGGAAGGTATATAAAGTTGGTTTATTTGATCAAGGTTAAAATAGATACGTTGTTATCCCTAAAATAATTTTCCATCTAGCTATAAAGTTGTAATTTTAGTGATTTGATTTTGAGCGAATTCAAGATATCGCAGTCAAGATTATATATCAACATTTTAATTATATTTGTTCGACATTTACGGTACATGGAACCAAAAGATTAATGTTTAAACAGACTAAACAATCAGCTAGCTAATGTACAACTGGGGAGGTTTCATTATGAAATATAATTATACAGATAAGGATCTGATATTTTCATTTCAATTATAAATGCGGCAGTAAATATTCTGACGGGAATTATATTACTGTAATTACAAAAGAATTTAGCAGGTATTTTCAGATACTGCTTTAAAAATATTGGATTAAATGATAGTACATTATCTCTATGGGAGAGTTTCTTTCATAAATCATTTAAACAGTATGTTCCAGTAATAATGCTTTTTCTTACTGTTACATTTTCCATGTGTACAAATGGCAGTGACAGTAAAGAAAACTTTTTCCATTCTATACTTTGGTTGAGATGTCCCTGAATAACTGACCAAATCAATGGTCTTTCTGTTAGGTAGGGAATGAAACACATGGACCTGCTATTTATTCCTGCTCTGGATTAGTATATTTGGAAGCATTGTAAGGCAGATTCCTGTGCATGAGTTATAGTAAATATGTGTGCATTAATCTTGCATTGAACATAATTGCATATGTACTTAGGGCTACTTTAAATATTTGCGTGATTCTCTACACCTTTTAATTAATATGTTAAAAATGGGATTTTCTTTTATCCCCAGTTACTTTAGATGAACTAAAGAAGGCTCATCAAGAAATAGAAAACTCAGAAAAAACCAAGACCAAGAAATAGTTAAATCCAATACAAGTTTACAATGTGTGGAATTTGTTGTGTGGTCAGCTTATCTGCTCGTGCCCCTGGAAGTAATATCTTGAAAGAAGATATCCTAAACAATCTTAAAAGAAGAGGACCCGATAGAAGCCAGCAACTGGAAAAGACTGGGTTTCATCTTCCATACTGGTGCTTATTTTCTGGCCATGTACTTCATTTAAGGGGGCCAATGACTCCACAGCCATTGGAAGACTCTGGTAATGTATTCCTTTGGAATGGAGAAATCTTCAGTGGAATTTCTATGGAAAGGGAAGAGAATGACACTCAAGTTATTTTTCGCCAACTCTGCTCTTGCAATAGTGACTCTGATTTTTTGACAGTGCTGTCCTCCATTCAGGGTCCATGGTCTTTTATTTTTTATCAGGCATCCAGGCATTGCTTATGGTTTGGCAGGGACTACTTTGGTCGTCGAAGTCTGCTGTGGCAGTTTAATCAAGAGAGTGACACTGTTCTTGCACTGAGTTCTGTTAGTTCTGCCTCTAATAATCAGTGGCTGGAAGTTCCAGCATCAGGAATTTTTCAGATAAATCTACAGGATTGTGTTGTTCATAAATCTATTACTTTAATGTTACATCCTTGGAAATTTCCTCCCAGACAAAATGTAGTTGAAAATGTAATCTCTGGAGATTTAAGCATAGTTTCTAAATCTCTGCCTACTTATGTGTCTTTTGTGATAAATGCATCCACTTCTTTGATAGCTCCTATCATTCCTTTAAATGAGGAAATTTCTGACATGACAGTAGAATCCCAATTACTTAGTTTTCCCTCACCTGTAGCTGATGCGGAAGTTCTTCAAACATTTCTTGCAGAACATCACAAGAAGGAAAGAGTCCATCAATTTATTGATGTATTGAGCAGAGCTGTAAAGAAACGAGTTTTATGCCTAATGAGAAACAGTGATCCATTCAGAGGAGAAATATCAGATATAGATCTGAGGAAATCCTATATTGCAATACTTTTTTCTGGTGGCCTTGATTCCATGATTATAGCTGCCCTTGCTGACAGGTATGTTCCCTTGGAGGAACCAATTGATCTTCTCAATGTGGCCTTCGAGGTTACAGGTCAAGGTAACCCGAATAGTTCCATTAAGAAATGCAGCAAAGAGAAGAAACGATTTCCCCCTTGTCAGGAATCTTTAAATGTCAAGAATACTGTGACCAGTGACTCTTCTCCTTCTTTTAATGCTCCTGATAGAATTACTGGCAGGGCAGGATTAGAAGAATTGAAGATAATTAATCCTTTAAGAACTTGGAACTTTGTGGAAATCAATGTTACGCTCGAGGATTTAAAAGCAATGAGAGTGAAACATATAAGACACTTAATTTATCCACTGGATACTGTTTTGGATGACAGTATAGGTTGTGCCGTGTGGTTTGCTTCCAGAGGAGTGGGTCTACTTACCAATCAGGGAGCCGTTCGACCATATAAAAGTCCTGCAAAGGTACGTAATTATTGAACTTCTCCCTTTTTTCAATTAAAGTTGCATAAAGCTGTTTAAACTCCATAACTGGTATTACAGCCTAATGCTACTTAATAGGGACTCATCTCATTGGGGTCTAATGGGACCAATCTCCAATATACTAAAACTCACCCTGCACACACAACTTATACAACATGCATAGCTGTAAAATGGAGAGTGTTTTGTAGTAAAATAATGCTACCAATGATGAAAGAGGTTTAGGGCAGGGGTCCTCAACCTTGGCAACTTTAAGACTTGTGGATTTCAACTCCCAGAATTCCAACTTTGCTGGCTGAGGAATTCTGGGAGTTGAAGTCCACAAGTCTTAAAGTTGCCAAGATTGAGGACCTCTGGTTTAGGGAATGTTTGTAGTATACAAGGAAGTAGATACATGTAGCTACATTGACTTTAGCATTGAAAATTGCGACAGAGAAACAAAAAAAAGTCTCCGTTTCGGGCCTTATGCATAATTTGCTTTTTACATTTACAATTTAAATTTCTTTTGTTATATTTTTTGATGATCAGACTTCAAAAACAAATAATTTAATAACCATTTTTTTCTTTTTTGTGTTTTGGAACTAAATGTTTTTCATTGTAGGTTTTATATAATCATGCTACATCTTGTGGCTACGGCTAGATTTTCATTTGTTAAAACATTTGTATAAATTGGATTCTCTATTGTCAATTACTTTTAGATTTATTTGGAATATAATGCTGATGTCTGCGTTAATATTCTGTAATCTCTGCTCATTACATGTTGTATTTCTATATTCATTACAGATTGTCCTTACAGGAATTGGAGCAGATGAACAACTTGCAGGGTATTCCAGACACCGTGTTTGTTTCAAAAAAAGTGGTTTTGCTGGTTTGATTGAAGAATTAAAAATGGAACTAAGTCGCATTTCTTCTAGGAATCTGGGTCGAGATGATAGAGTTATTGGAGATCATGGCAAAGAAGCCAGGTAAACAGGTGTGCAACAGATAAGACTGTCCTTGACTGGACATACTAAACTTCAGATAATGATAAGGAATAAAGGCAGCAAATATGTAATAGATAAATGGAAGAAACAATTTACATGTTATAGTAAAAGAAGGCAGAGTCTACTTTTAAAAGTCCTTTTTTGTCATGCGTAATACGCTATTCTCCTGGTAAATATCCTAAAGTTCAATAGTGTTAATAGCTATTAATTCAGTACTAATAATTGCCATATCAGGATAAAAAATGTTTGGAATGGATCCTTGAGATTTGTTTGTGAAGTTCTCACAGACATGAACTATGATGCATTTCTCTCTTGGGGTGGGGGAAGAACATAGAACAATTCTATACACAAATAAAAATGTAAATGTTCGTTTGTTCAAAATCTTAAATCTCTGAAAGTTCTTCACCGATTGCTTTGAAATTTTGACACAACGTTGCATTCGAATATGTGCGTGTTTTTATATACCTACTGTTATATAGATGTCACACCTGTGACAGGTAAAAACATGCTTTTTTTGAAAAACAGCACCATCTGTTGGACGTAAAAGCAACACGCGCTACGATTTTACAATTCCATTTCAATGTTGTGAAATTAAACATATTACAAACGTGCGCTTTCTCTTTCTTTTCCATTTAACCAGACTGAGCCACAGCAACGCGTGGCCGGGTACAGCTAGTATTTAATAATTTTTATCATTGATTTTCTTATCTGTGTGCAAATAATCTCAGTGGGTCAGATCCAAGAAACTCTCCACTTATTCTGTGAAATAGCATTAGGAAAAGAATGTTGAGACCAAAATGACCTAGAGGCAAACAAAGTCATTACTAAAAGCCAACATGGGTTTGTCAAAAATAGATCATGCCAGACAAATCTTATTGCATTCTTTGACCAAGTGACAAAATTAGTGGATGAGAGGAATGCTGTGGATATAATTTACTTGGACTTCAGTAAGGCATTTGATAAAGTACATCACAACCTACTACTTGACAAGATAG